ACTGCCTAAACAGAAGCAAAACAAGGATAATAGCAATAGACATGTTAACACGGATGGAGAGAAACCCGGAGGACTCAGCCCTACAAAAAGAACTACAGGCAACTAAGAAATGCTGAGTGAGGGAAAACGGTCTTCTCCAAGGAAGATCATACCAACTGGTTATCCAATACCAAAGGCCGAGCTGTGAAAATGTTCATACAAGTAACGCTATTCAGACTGAGCAGGTTATAGTTATGTATTTAGGAGTATGGTGTGTGTGTGTGTGTGTGTGTGTGTGTGTGTGTGTGTGTGTGTGTGTTAACAGCAATGAAAAAAGAAGGCCATGAGTTTGAAAAAGAACAAGGAGGGCTATATGGGATTGTTCATAGGGAAAAAAAAAGAAAGGGTAAAATGATATAATTATATATATACAAAATTGTTTTTTTTTAAACAAAAAGACAAGCTGCACGCTAAAGAAACATTCTTGAACATCACCTGCTTAGTAAAGGTTGTGTTTAATCAAAATGTACAGAGAATTGGCAAAACTCAGCATGAGGATGTGAGCAATGTGTTTCCAACAGGCAAAAGACATGAGCACACAGTTCCCTGGGGACATCAGGTGGGAAAGAGGCACCTGAGAGAATGTGCACTAGGACAGCACGGATTCCAACAGTAACATGATGTATACCATACTACTTAAAAAATGACAACAGAAGGGAATGATCATGGATGCAGGGAAACTGGTCCTTTTGCACACAGGCACTACTGCAGTGCCCATTTAACCAAATCAGACCTGGCACCCAGGTTCTCCCCAAATCCCTCAGTCCTTACCTGTTACAGACCATCGCTGACATACCCTGCCTTCTTCCCTGAACTTTCCACCCCAAAGCCTGGGATTCCTCTCCCCAGAGGCTCTTCATTATGTAGTCCAAACATTCTCTCTCTCTCTTTCTCTCTCTCTCTCTCTCTCTCTCTCTCTGTATGTGCATGTTTGATCTTTCTTCTTCTCCCCTTCTCTGCCTCCCTGTCTGCATGTCAATTTCCCTGGTCCCGTTCTTTGGGACCACTGAACCTGCCCAACAGCTGTTCCCAATAAACCTGCCTTTATATATGGTAAATTTGGCTTGAACTGGCTCATTTCGGCAATGGAGATAACCTGTTAGGCATGATTGGCCAGCTTCAGAAGTCGGTAGCCCAACTTCCTAAAAACTCCTAATCCAACCACTTCTCCTTCAGTGCTTTAGCCCAGAGAATTGAGAGTGAATGTACATACTAAGACACTAACAATTACAGTCACTTTCTTCATGACAGTGCCACCTGAAACAAATCACATATCTATCCTCTGGGAAGGATGACCTAGCCACCCTGAAGCACACTACTCAGAAATCATGAAGGAATAAATTGTTGGTGTGTGGAGGAATATCTTGTGTGGATGTAGCAGGTGTCAATAAAGATCAATTGGCCAATTAGCTGGGCAGGAAATGGAAGTTGGGACTTCCTGGTAAAGAGAAAGGAATTCTGGAAAGGGAAAAGTGAAAAGCCCTTTCACCAGGAGACAGGGAGGAAGACAGACATGTTCTTTGATCAGGGAGGAGAGCTGGCCACATGGCTGTGTGAAGCAAGGTTAACTTAGACGAGATAATTGAGAGTCTGCTCAGCTATTGAAAAGTTTTTCAAGGTCTTGGCATCTTTATTTATATGGTTTAAAGGCCACCCTTGGGCTTAAGTTTTTTCTTCACCCAGAGATATAAGCCGCCTGACTTCAACACTGATGTAAACAATATAAATAGATGTTATGGTTACTTTTAACAGGCAACTCCAAACAACCTAAAATAACCTAGGAAGAGAATCTCAATGAGAAATTTATTACATGAGGTTGGCCCAGGCAGGAGTGTGTCTGTGAGAGATTGTCTTATGTTAATTGTCCCAGTACACCATAGACATCATTTCTTGGTGCTGGATCTTGGGCTGTATAAGAGTGAGGAACTCAATGTGAGCACAAGAAAGCAAGTGAGCAAGCGAGCATGCATTCATTTCTTCTGCTCTTGGCTGTGGGTGCCTTGACTTCCCTGCTGTGAGGAACTGCAACCTGGAACTGTGATCTGAAAAAAAAAAAAAAAACAACTCTTTCTCCCTTAAGTTGATTTTTGGCATTTTCTTTTTTATCATGTTTTATCACAGGAACAGAAATGAAACCAAGTGAATGGATGATCCCCAGAATAATCAAGGTGTGTGGGAGAGCTATCCCTAGAGAAGAACAACTCACACACACAGAGTGGGCTGGTTTCTCTCAAAGTCTAGGAGAGGAATCAAATCTACAATGACAGAAAACACATCGAAGATTCACTGGGAACAGGAGGGGCAGAGTGGACAGAGAGAGGAATTACAGATTGGTGGTAGGAACTTTGGGGGTGATTATCTGTCTATCACCTTGGTTCTACTCTTGGTGTCATAAGTATATATGTCAAAGTTAATTAAATTATATGTCTTCAAGATGTTTGATTTGTTAAAACTCAGTTGTATTTCAATAAAGTTTCAACAAAGAAGCTATTTGATGAATTAAGAAAATTAGTAAATTTTTAAGGATACTACTAGACAATGAGTGCATCTACATTGTGTATCCACACAGACAGACAAAAGTTACTAAAGGCAAAAGAAATCCAAGTCAGACCTGGTGGTGCACATTGTAAGTCTACACTCAGGAGGCTGAGGCAGGAGAATCACCAATGCAGGCCAGCCTGGCCTACACAGTGAGACCCTGTTTCAAGAAAAAGAAAAAAAGGTTGGGGAGATGTTTCCATAGACAAAGTATTTGTTACACAAGCATGAAGACCTGAGCTGTGCAAATACCTGAGCTATATTCCCAGAACCCACATAACAAAACCAAAACCCAAACAGGAATGGTAGCATGCAATTGTAATCATAACACTAGGAAAGCAGACATAAGGAGATTCTTGGGAAAGGTATAGGCCAGTGAGAGACCCTGCCTCAAAAAGAAAAAACAGCAACAACAAAAAGGTGGACCTGAGAATAATCTCTGGCTCTCATTTTCACTGGTACACATGTGAATACACAAACACACATAGAAAAGAAGGTCTAAGATACATTACTTTCCTGTTTTCATAAACAGAGGAGACAGTGGGGTGAAAATGGTGCCTGAGAAATGAAGGTGGAGAATTTTCTAAGAAGATCATCAAAAGCCTGTGGATTCTTGATAGGATACATAAAAAAAAAAAAACCATCTAACTCCAAGTATCACAGTAAAACAATGGAACACGAACACTAATCAAAGAGCTTTAACAGTTGCTGGAGATAAAGAAATCTTTTGGAACACAGAAGTGTCGACCAACAAACTTTTCCATCAGTAGTGGAAACTAAAAATGGTGGAAGCAGAGCTTTGATGCCCTGAGAGAAAAAGAGTATTTATGTAGAACCCTGTAGCCAGAAGAAATACTTCCCATCACCAGGATGAAATGCAGCTATTTCAAACTGATGACAACCAGGGCAATTTTCTTCTCTTCTGTAATTCTGAACTTGTGCTTTAGGCAGAAGAATATATCAGAAGAATGGTCCAAAATGCATCCAGAAATGAAAAAGTAATATAGGGCAATTATGGAGGCCAAGATGAATAAGTGGGCTTTAAAACCTAAATGCTAGGCAGAAGAATTCACATGCAGCTTTTAGCGGGTAAAGAAACCATACTATCTAGATTCTCAAAGGATCCTATAAATTATATTCATCATTTAAAAGTTTGAAAGCAGCCAACATTAACAAGCATTAAAGAAGAGTAAACCTCATTTACAGCAAATTCCAGGAAGACAGATGGGAAGGTGGGTAGGTAGGTAGGTAGACAGCAAGATGGATGGATAGATGGGATAGATGACTTTTATGTAGATGGGTGGATAAGTAGATAAATGGATGAATAGATGAGCTACTGCTTCAGTGCCATGCCTGCCTGCCTGCTGCTATGCTGCCCATCAAGATGTTCATGGACCCTAACTCTCTGGAACCATGAGCCCCAAATTAAGTACTTTATAAGTTGCCTTGGTCATGGTGTTTAATCAAGCAATTGAACAGTAACTAACACAAGGCCCTTGCTCAGATTTCCTTGCTCTCCTGTGTCCAACTTTACATGTTCACCTTTAACACTCTTATAGAGCAGTTCCCTGATGAAGATATCCTCTCTTGGCTCCCACAAGGTCAACTATTAAGACAAAGATCTTCAAATTCAATCATCTGGGGGAGTAGGCATGGAAGACATCTGAGAAACATAGGTGAAGATCCAATGCTGAAGAAGAAAGGTGGGGACTAAGGTATTCATAAAGCTCTCACCTACCAGGGTGGCTATTACTCCTACCTGGCCAGCTATGACTACTCAAGAAAGCAAATCTTGTGTCCTCATAACGTCTGATAGCTTGAGATAAGTGGAAATACAGACACTTGTATGAAATCTGATTTTTATGATGTGACTGCAACTTTCAGACAGACTCCTTGCCTTGATGGACTTGTCCCAAGAGCTGCTGCTGAGCTCTTAAGGCCTCCTAACAGATGTCTTTGGCCCTTTCTAGAAGACAATGCCTCTGAATGTTCAGAGGCTATCCCCAAGTCTTGGGATTGCTGAGTCTCTTCCCTTCTCTAGATTTTTAGTTTTTATGCAAAAAAAATACATTACTTGCAAATATTAATAAATGTCTTAAAAAGCAATGCTTAACACATAATCTCTCAGCACTAAAATCAGAAGGAAGTATTTTCAACTTGATTATCTCAAAAATTACTGTGTCCTGCCTTAGAAACATACCAGTGAACAATTACATGGTCAGTGGGACCATGCTGGATGGGCTATGCACAAAGAGGCAGACCTGGAGCCACAGAACTCCAGACCAGCAGAATAGGAGCCTCCCTCTGGAGCTAAGCTACCATGTAAATGCCACATTCAGCTTCTGGAGATTTAACTAAGTAGCCATTTGCAGTTTCTGGTACCAGGCCAGCAGGGAAGGGAAAGAGGAGGCCACATATCTTACCTCTTAGAATAAAGCAAAAGTTTCTTTTGCTTGGTGTTCTCACGAGATGGCTTCACCCTCCTACGGCACAATCCTTTCTTCCACTGTGGACTGGACACCTGGTCTTGGGCCCTTGTCCCTGGGACTGTTGGATAAGGAAGCTGAAAATACCAAGTATGTTGGCATTATGTCACTCAGCCTTCATGGTGGGGACAACTATTATGGGTTCCTCTCTAGAGACAGGATGCCTATCTATAGAAATTAAGTCACCCAAATGTTTATTACCAAACAGCCCAAGCCCGTGGGGTATTCTTAGCAGGCAACTGATTGTATGCCACATGGAACCTTCCAGGATTGTGCCTAGGCTAGACTAGCAAATGCTGGAACTTTGATGTCAATGGAGGGTTAACTAGAGCCATAGTCCATTTCCCCCACCTCGGAAATCGCTACAATTTGGAAGGAGATTTTAAACCAGACTTTGGATACCCACCCTGGGAAGAAGCAAGATTACTTTCACGTCTCAGCTCTCACCCTTGCCTTTGTTCCATAAGCACAATTAGAACTGAGTGCTCCCTTCAGCTCCCTGACCTCAGCCATATCCCAAAAGGACTAAGACGTCAATCTTTTCAAGATGCAGCCATAAACTCATGGATTAATTCCCTGGTAAGATCTCCCTTGAACTTTTGTCACATTCTCCTTCTTATCTTTCCTCTTAAGAACCAAGTTAAGTCTAGTTCTTGTGATTACAGTGGAGCTAGTTCCCCAGTGCCTCTGAGATAATGAGCTTCTTCATTTAAGAGTGCTTACTTGTTCCCTGTTTTTGGTCTGCTTTGGTTTTCTGTCTAGAGTTTTTCTGTCAACATGAGTTTCTAGTTTCTAGTTTCTGGAGAGGTGGCTCAGTAGTTAAAAGCACTTGCTGCTCTTGCAAAGGACCCACATTTTAGTCCCAGAGCCAGCATTAAGTGGCTCACAACTGCCTGTAAATCCAGCTTCAGAAGAGTTGATGCTCTGTTCTGTGAATCAAGTACCCTAAGGGAAAATAAAATGTGGTTTGGTTTCATTTTATTTTTTAAGAAAAAAAAATATATATATATATATTTGATTCTTAGAAGACCTGGAGAGCCATAGGCAGCATTTTTTTTTTTTGTCTCTGTTATGAGGAATAAAATGAAGTTTTATGTCTAATTACAAATATCTTACCTGGATACTCTGGTAAAATATTTCTTTCTTTGTATGTGATATGTGGTGCCTTTATGTGGTGCATGCATGTGGAAGCAGAGAACAATCTTGGGTGTAATTTTTCCGGAGCCATCCAGCTTGTTTTCTCAGTCAGGGTCTCTCACTGGCCTGGGATTCACTGGTTAGGCTGATCTAATCTAGTCCCCAGAGATGTCTCTGCCTCCATCTCTCCAGTGCTGGGATTAGAAAGACTGGCCATCATACTTGGCTTTTTAATGTGGGATCTCAGGGTATCATACTTGTGTGGAAATGCTTCACCAACTCAGCCATGACACAGACTCTAGTTCAATAGATCTTTACTGTGTTATTTTTATGAACTTTGTTTATATCGGGGGCCCTTATTTTTCCCACCCCATGTGTGGCAGCTGTAGCCTTCCTTGGGAGCAGAAAATCTCATAATGGTGGTGATATCCACAAGCTCTTTCTTTCTCCCTTCCCACTTGCCTCCGTCTCTCCCTTTCTCTCCTTTCCTCCTTCTCTCCCTCCCTCTCTGTCTTCCTGTCTTACTCTCATGTCCCTCCAGTCCCCAGGACTAGCTGGTGTTAGTTACCTCAGGGGCCTGTGAAGGCCCTTCTCCTCCTTGGCGGCTTGTCGTGGTCTCTCCTCCACTGCTCTTGGGCAGTGGTCTGTCACTCTCATCCTGGAGGCTTCTATCGGGCAAGCATGAAGCTGAGTGCCTGGGAGCTGCCCTCTGCTGCTCTGCCAGCAGGGGCAGGCTGCGGCTCAGGCAACACCATGTGAGCTGGGGCTCAGCTTTAAGTGAGGGGAAGGGGCTTGGGGCCTCACAGCTCCTGGGGGTCCCTAAGAGGTGCGATGAGGCCAGTTTCTGCTGGTTCAAGGAAATACCCTGGGACTGTGTGAAAGATGTGAGGAAATAGGGTGTTTGGGAGGGAAAGCAGGCAGGCAGCCCTTCCTTGGTCTCTGAAGGAGGACCTTCTAGGGCATTCTTAGAAGGTATCCCTAGTTTCTGGGATGATATCCAAGGGTTCAAAAGGCTCCCATATGTCCTAGCTCTTGCTGGTGGGCTGTCTGTGCAGAGGCAATGAATTGCCTGGGTCTCAGTCACTACATCCTGGGACACATGAGTGTCACATGTGTCAGGAGGCAGAATGGAGGCTGTCTCCTGAATGGTGCCCATGTTGGTGTCAGGAGAGTGCTCAGCGACTGGGATGCTGCCATTGATCCTGTCTTTTTTCTCTCTTCCAGTTTGTGCCTCTTCTCTTCCATCCCTTGACCTGGACCGGCTAGGGTCTTCTGGGCTGCCACCTGCCTCACCTGGGCCTGAGCATGCTCCATGTGGCTGGGGCATTCCCAGTTCTGGTCCAGCAAAAAGGGCCTGTTCTACAGGCTGTGCACTTAAACACAGGGAGTCTCGGCCTTCCCCAGGCCCTGGAGCAACAAGTGGTAAGGGGTTCTCTTCCTGCGGTAACCTGAGGAGGTACCTGGGAGCAAAGGAGCCACCTGACAGAGCAGCAGGGACACTGGGATCCCAGGGCTGAGCAGGCAGCAAGGAGTGGAGCCCAGGAGTCCTGGGTACCAAGGGAAATGGGGAATCCTTGTCTCCTAGTCCTGGCCATGTTGGGGCAGCAGTAGAACCAGCTGAGGAAGCATTAGAGAACTCTGGGGCTGTGGTCCCTTGCACGATGCTCTCATTTGACCTGCCCAGCACCTCCTCAGAGTCACTGTCCTGTTTCTGGGGTGGCTGGGGGTCAGCCTGCACAGAGCCACCTGAGGTTTCAGCTTCCAGAGGCCCTGGTTGCTCCTGATGGCCCAGCCCCTCTACTTTCATTCTCTTCCTCTCCGAGGGTAACTTGTCCTCAGCAAGCTGGGGAGCCACAGACCTACCACTGGATTGTCTGAGGACGGTTTGGGCCCCAGGGCTGATTTCTTTTACAGCCTTGCTACTGGGGTCTGGCAAAGATGTCTCAAGAGCTTCTAAGTGTCCTTGACAGAGCCCAGGCACTGGAGGCAGCTGGCATCCCAGGTCCAGCTTCCCATCTGAAGAGGGCAGAGGGCTCTTGCAAGTCAAGCAGAGGCCCTCTGTGCTGCCCAGGGTAGGGGACGATTTCGCTCTGGCCACCGCCTTCAGTTGCTTAGGAGGCTCAGCTTCCAGGGAACCTTCCAGGGATGGTCTACTTCCCCAAGACCCTGGCTCAGCCCCTGCTGTGGTGTCCTCAAGGGTAGGGATCCTGTTGTCTTGTGATAGGCCTGCACCCTCTATTACCGCATCCTGGGGTGAGAGGTCCAGTTCTGTCCCCTGACCCTGTTTCACCTCCCCGTGTTTCTGTCCTCCCTGGTGGTTGGTCTTCATCTTCTGGTAGATTCTCTTGAAAGACTCATTCCCATACACCTGCCATTTCTCCTGGGAGAACATCTTTTGCTTCCTCTGGCTGCACTTCTTACTGGCCTTGCCTTTGCAGGCCACCGCCTCCTTTACCACAGCTCTCTTTCCATCTAGGTCCTCAGCCACAGTCGAGGGGTCTCTGGTGGGGGTACACGGCAGGTCCTCCACAGCAGCCTGTCTCACCAGAGCCCGAGGGTGACCACTGGGGACGCCTGCCAAGGTTAGTCCTGGGCGGCATCCCAGCCGCCCGGCGGTGAGCCTGGGGCTCAGGGTCTTCTGCATCCTGGGAACAGCATCTTGTAGGTCCCGTGGCTCTGGCCACCGCTTAGAACCCTCAATGAAAGGCAGGGAGTTGCTTCTGGTGACTGGAACACATTCCACAGTGGTGGAGAGCTGTGTGGGGACGGAGTGGAAGAAAACGGGCCTGGCCTTCTCCAGGGGTGTGAAGGTGGAGCAGGCCGGGCTGAGGGCCATCCTCCTGCGGCCGGGCTCCAGCGCCCGGATGTCAAAGTGGAAGGAATCCTTGTAGGTATAGGGCATGGGCAGGTCAATGCTGCCCTGCTTGGACAACACAGTCTTGCGGGGCCGCACGTGGTTCAGCTGCGGGTCGTCCACCACCGCCTGGTTGTGGGAGATGAGCTGGGCAATGCGTTCCTCCAGTTTCTTCTTCTCCATCTCCAGGCTGGCCCCCGAGGCTCCCCGGTCAGCCCTGCTGCCGGTGGAGCCACAGCCAGGTCCTCCTTCCCCCTCAGACTCTGCGCTGTGTTCCGATAGACTGTGCAAAGGGCTGGAGGCCACGGGAGGCTGCTCCACGCTGTCTGAGCGCGACAGGTAGCCGGAGTCCGTGCTCTCACACTTCCTCAGCTGGCCCTCCAAAGCCTTGGAGTCCCAAGGCTTCTCTGAGCACGTCTCCTGCTGTCGCTTCCGCCGAGGCTGCGGGCTGGCTAGCGGGAACTCAGGCGACACCACCTGGGTCTGATCCACAGAGGACTCCCTGTGGGGAAGCGTGGCCAAGAGGGAGGGAGCCGATTCCACCTTCCGGTGTTCCCTGTTCTTAGCAGCAAGACTGGGATGAGCACCTGGGGAAAGGGCTGTCTCCGGAGCTCCTAACTCTCCCCGGCTGTCCACTGAGGCAGTGTCTCCTGGCCTGTCTGCCTCCTCCAGAAGGCTGCTCCCACTCCCTTCAGACTCCGAGGACAAGCGGGAATTGTTGAGATGAGTCTGAGTCCGCCTGTGCTTATACAGGTTGCTCTGGGTCTTAAAGGCGATGCCACAGGTGGAGCACGGGAAGGGCCTCTCGCCTGTGTGGGAGCGGATGTGTTTCTCTAGCACGCTGGGCTTCAAGCAGTCCCGGCCGCAGTGTGAGCACAGGTACTTACCAGCGTTCTTCAATCTGCCTGTGTTGACCAGCGCGGACCCCACCCCCGGGGAGAGTACCGGCAGTGTGCTGACGATGTTCACAGTCAGGGCAGGGGTAGCTGGCTTGCCCACCTGCCCAGGACCCGGGCCTTCAGGCTGCAGCAAGGGGCTGAGGATGAAGGGTACGCTGGTCCCCTCCAGACTGCCTGTCACGAGGGGAGCACGTGGCTGGAAGCCGCCGGGAGGGACTGTGTGGTACAGTGGGACAGGCAAGGCCTTCAGGAACACAGTCTGGGGCAGGCTCTGCTCCGGTGGCAGAATAACAGGACCCAGAGTCAGGCGAGGTGAGGCCTGCCCACCTGGGCCCGCTGGAAGGCCAGATGCAGGGGCTGGCTGGTCCCTGGTGGACGGTGTAGGGTGGGTAGGTTCTGAAGCCTCCATTCCTCATCATCTGCGTGGTCCAGGATTTATGTCAACCTGTGGGTGAGAACCACGCTTTATCATGGGTGTCTGTATTCTTCCCGTCAGAAGGTGTTACAGTACCCTCTGTGGACACTAGCGACAATCCCCCAGCACTCTTGTCGAGCTGTAAGCCTAGCGACTCAAAAGACGGAGGCAGGAGGATTTCAAGTTCTAGCGCTATTTGGCTGACAGAGTGAGACCCTGACTCAAAATAAAATATACAAAAAGAGCTAAGGGTGTAGCTCAGTGACAGCTCCCTTGCCTGGTGTGCAGCAAGGGTCAGTGTTGAATACTCCCTCACACACACTGACGTGCACACAGAGGAGCACCCTGTTTAGGTGGCAAAGGTCTACAGTGACTTCTCTACCAAGTTCAGATCACTTGCTTGTCTACAGTGCCATTTCTAGATCCTTGAAGTACCCAGAGCCAGGTCCTTTTACTCTGCGGTTCTGAGCCCTAGACTACAGTCAAAGACAGAACTGGCCTTGGCGGGGCGGGGGTGGGGGTGGGGATTCCTAGATTAGGACACTACAATGCATGGCTGTGAGACAAACTTGAATTTCGGAAAAATTATGCATCACACTTTCAGTGTATGGAAATACGGCCCAAATATTGCAGGATGGATTCTCATAAGCTTGTCCCCAAACCCAAAGGGTCATGCTGATGCTAAAGCATATGCTCTTGTCAAGTTTAAATGTGTACGGGAACCCTGTTTTTGGTCCCGGGACACTACAAGGAGTGCTTATCCAACCTCAGGATGAAGCTTGGGTCTCTACTCAAAGCTTAGAGTGAGTCAGGAGGAGGAGGAGGTAAGCTAATACCATTCTGTTCTTCAAGTCACTAAGGAAAAGTCAGATGCTGGAGGGACAAATGCCTGGAACCCTGGCATTTGCAGGGCTGTAGCAGGAGATTCATGAGTTCCAGCACAGCCTGGGCTACAGAGCAATGCCCTGTTTCTAAAAACTGGAAAAGAAAAAGAAGTTATATAAATATTCTATGAAATAAGTTATGTTGAAAGAAAGGATGCTGCAACCACATATTTCCCTTCTCTCTATATCTTTTAAGCTATTAGTACTGTGTGTATGTGTGTATATGTGTGCATGATGTGTGGGCACACAGAGGTCAGAGGACAGCTTTGTGGAATCAGTTGTCTTTCTGCTTTTATGTGAATTCCCAGGGATTGATCTCAAGATGCCCTACTTTCACAGCAAGCCTCTTTACCTGCTAAGTTTTACAACCTGAGGCCTTATGACTAGACATATATGCACAAGAGACTGAAGTTTGGCTTCGGCTTCATGCCATATGCAAAAGAATAATGCAAAATAGATCAGAGACATAAATGAAAGATCAAAAGCTACCAGACTCTTAGAAGATATAGCGTTAAGTCTGGACTTTGAATTTGGCAATATCTCCAAGATACATGCCAGAGGCACAACCAGTGGAAAAAAAAAAGTTGAAAAGTTTGACTCCTTAAAAATGTGTGTATTTAGAACACTATCAAGAAAGTGAAAAGCCACACAACGGGAGAAAACGTAACAGCTGATAGTAGAAAGAAGATAAGACTTAGGTAGAAGCTACGGCTCCGTCAGGGAGGTGTCTGCCATGTTGGCTCGAGGACCTGAGTTTGGGTCCCCAGAACCTACGTGAAATCAAGGTATTTTCCTGTGCATGCCTGTAATCCCAGTCCTGGGAGGCAGAGACAGGCAGATCCCTGGAGCTCAGTGCCCAGCCATTCTAGCCAAATCAGTGAGCTCCAGGTTCATTGCAAGGTTCCCTTGCAATAAGGTTGTGGTGCCACAAGCACCTTTACCTTCTGAATGGCACTGCACCTGCAGAACCCACATAAAGGTGGAGGGAAAGAACTGACTGCACACAGCTGTCTCGTGTGCCCTGTGGCACATGCCTGGCACTTCCCACCGTACTTGCACTCGAACGGTGAAAATAAATCAAACACAGAAAACCCCAAAATAATAAAAACAAATAAGGTGATGGGAGGTTGACAAAGACAGCCAGTGATGACCTCTGACCTTCACACACACACACACACACACACACACACACACACACACATCTGATCACAAATGAGTACACACATAATCATACATGGAACTCTAGGACTCAATGATGAAAGTGCCTAATGGCTCAATTTTTAAAATGAGCAGGACCTGCAGGAGAGCTCAACAGACAAGGCCACTTGCTGCCACCACTGGCAACCTGGGATCCACATGTGAAAGAAGAGAATTGAGTCCTTCTAATGGCCCTCTGACCTCCATACATGCACTATCTCTCTTTCTCTGTCTCTGTCTCTGTCTCTGTCTCTCTCTCTCTCTCTCTCTCTCACACACACACACACACACACACAGTCATACACACACACGCCCACATGTACACAAATAAGTAAATGTAATTAAATAAGTAAAGACACTGGAGAGACTGAGACGAGATGATCCCAAGATTGAGGCTAGTCTAAGCTACCTAGGAAGACTCTGGCTCAAAATAAGTTTTGAAAGAAAAAGCCAATGGGATAATTTCCCACTGACTAGCATGCACAATAAGGAGAGCAAACGGAAAATGACATGTCTTGGTAAGGGTAGCCCCGTGTGGCTTCTGCAGGACACAGTTTGGTAGTTGTTTGGCTATTTCCTCTGAACTCGAACGCTCTCTTCTGCAGGAAGGGAGTAGGTTCTTCAGACACCAGGCTGGGGAAGTCATAAGGGCCAACTCTAAAGTTATATTCACAGTAGCACGTGCTTGGGGAGGAGTCTCTTTAGAGGTCCTGCCCGCAAATTGTGCATGGGCTCTGGGGAGGCAGCTTTCCCCACTTGTCACCCATGCTAGAGTGGACCCTCAGGTAACATGGTGACTGCCTTTGTCACTATATTACTATGACCCCAATAAACTAATTAGTTCATCAAGTTTTGTCTCATTTTGTTTTGTTTTGTTTTGTTTTGTTTGAGACAAGGTCTTGATCTGACTTTGAATATACAGCCATCCTCCTGCCTCAGCCTCATGATTTCTGGGATTACAGACATGTGTCCCATATGCCTAACTTAATTTCTCTTCTTTGCTTCCTTTCTACTTTTTCTTTGTTCTTATTGTGTTAAGGTTTTGCTGTGTAGTCCAGGCTGGCTTGGAATTGCTCCACAGGGAGCACCTGCAGATTTGACATTGTTCCCTGAGTACTACAGCAGGCTCTAGTGTGCCTCCTCCCTCGCAGGCCAGGCTTCCCCAGTTGCTTCTGAAATGGTGTCTGAGGGTTGATGGGCAAGGCTTCTGTTGTCCCTGAGGCAGAATCAAAAGTCAAGACATCTGAGTTCTGAGCCCTAATCCTAAGGAAGGAAGTGCAATGAGCGGAGCCTGAGCGACAAGGACTTCTCCGATAGTCCCACTGGGCGGGTGGAGAGGAAGGGAGGGGAGCCAAAAGGAAGGGAGGAGTGCTTCCCACCTCAGCCTGCCTCGTGGGGAGTTGGGGGAGAGGTAAGTGGGACCTCATGCCAGGCAGTCTGCAAAGAGCAGCAAGGTGGAGCAAGTGTCCTGATGGGAGGGGAACACAGTCCACAGAGTTCTCTGCTGGGGAAATAGCCAGTGGGGAAGATGCTGCTGAAGGGAAAAGTCTCAGCAGGTAGGGGAGCTGAAGCCAGGTGGCAGGTGGCCCTAGCCAACCCAAGCCCATTACCAGGGAGAACAAAAATTCCAGCCAGAAAGAACTGTCTTTTGAGGCTCAGCCTTCAAAACAGTGCAGAGCCACCTGCCATGCTTAAGGTTTGGCTCCCTGAAGCAGATCTGTAATCATAGCTGATCCCTTCGAGGACCAAACAAATGATACCCTCCTCTTGGGAGACCACCACCCCAGTCCAGGGCAGACTCTATGGGACACAGTTGATTTTAATCAGGAAAGGGTGAGTTGTGCTGTCTCCATTAGACTGACACAGAAATTAAGGGGATGGGACAGGAAGGAAGAGCAGGGTCCAATGTCAAATGTTCACTCTGTTGTCATCTCATGGGCTGCTACACAGAAAAAGGGATTCCCACCCGGCCCTGCCAGTGTTTGGCTGCCTATGGAGGATAACATTTTTCCAGTACAAATAGGCGGTGTTATAGAGGACAGGTGAAGCAAGGGAAGAAGAGTAGGAAAACGGTAGCAATGATGGCTTTCAAAGCGTCCCACAGCAAAAACAGCCCCTCAATAGGCCAGGACAGAGAGAAAATGTAAAACCCCAGATGGGTTTGCAGTGTTCACCTTTAGGGTGAGAGGCAGGAGGAACAGTGAAGAAGCCCTCCAAGTTGCTAAGTGTGCTGGAAAGAACCGGATTCAGAGGTACTGGCTTCCATGGCAGCATTACCTAATTTCAGTCTACTGCGCCATAGGCACCCGCTTGGTCACCCAGTGGGGACTCTAGGCCTTGGTATTCTTCCATTCCTGCATAAACCCCCCTTTTGTTGGAAAACTCCTAATTTTAAGAAGGAATGGCATGTTCACATAATGTGTGAAGATAATGTGACTCTTCCATGTTGCACATCTTCTGCTGTGACTTTCAAAACCAAAAAAAAAAAAAAACTCATCATTCTATGACGGGTTGGAAACTTAATGTTCACACAAAAACTTGCACCCAGATAATTAACGTCAGTTTATTCATCACTGTGAAAACAGAAAAGCGCCTAAGATGTCCTTCAGTATGTGAAAGAATAAACAAACACTGGCACAGCCAGACAATTGAGAGTTATTCAACAATGAAGAGAAATGAGCCATCAAGCCACAAAGAGACACGGGAAACCTTCACTATACGTTGCTAAGTGAAAGAAGCCACTCTCAATAGGCTGTTTCCTGTGTGACTCCAGCTGCAGACACTCTAGAACAAACAAGACTGTGGGACAGTAAGATCTGGGAGTGCCACGGGTTGGAGGGGAGGAAGGGGTGTATAAACATAGCCCACAGGACACTTGCAATAATGAAGTCTTCCCATGTGGTACTGTCCAGG